CGCATAATAATTAACAACCATATTGGTTTCTTGTAAAACCTCGACCTACTTTTCTGCCGAACACCGAGTACGTATCTCCTTTGTATACTGCCATCGAGCATATATTTCTTTAATCTTTTTTTAGTACAATGTCGCGCGTTCTCTCTCCCCGTTTCAAAGATTACTCAAACATCGTATAATCGTATACACACGTTTGCGTGTTTACTGTATAGAAAATGACTCTATTATTAAGAATAAGCCATTTCGTAAAGTGGAAAAAAAAGTATTTATTACGAAATTAAATTATTATTACTACAGAAGCTAATTCTATGGCAGTTGCTATATTTTATCGTGTACGCCAGATATAGTGTAGTTGCTTAATGGGTATTAAGCTTAATGAATATTTGAGGACTCGGATTATGAAACAATAGGCGGTATAACTGTAAGCCAGGAGTCTTATAGCTTGCCTTAATTAATATTTTGTGAAAACATTCGCGACACAGTTCTCATTAGTAATGGAGATAGCCTTCCGGATGGAATCACTGTCGAAATGTCGCGCAGTCCCCGTATCCCGTCTCAGTGATTTTTGGCCGTATATAATAAAGAAACAACGCGACGCGCGGCGGGAATTTTCACGGTGGAAATATGGAAATCGAGGGCGCGGCCTCGTCGCACGATGGCGCCGAGTAAATTGAACAATAATCCGCAGACTCGGCGGCCGCTGGGGGGTCAGCTGGTAATCGCGCTGGGGTAAGTGTCGCGCTAAGTGGAACGTGGCCGTAGCGAAATAATGGCGCGCGTTAAAAAAGTCACAAGTTCTCAGTCCAGTCGGGCGAACCAATATGCCTCGCGAGCTCCCTCGAACGCGGGCGGTTTCCCTCCTTTCCCTTTCTTAATATTTTTAACGTGCTAAATATTTACACGCGCGGGTCAGACACTTCTCAACGTTGAACTTTATAAGGCCAAAGTTGGGGCGAGATAATCTCACCGCGGATTTTAGTGGCGTGTGTAACGCCGGCCGGCAGCAGTCGTAGTATCACTAAACTTGTGTATCGCGATGTTAGACACGATATTAAATTTTATTAGATCTCTCTAAGAATGTCCAAGATAAATATTAAAATGCGCACGAAAATAATAAGAGCTTTATTCCGGTGGAATAAAAACTTCAGCAAGTTGATTAAAATACCACGACCACAGCTCGTGTAACCATCTTGACTTTAAGCACTTTGCGAACGCAAACACCCTCTCTCTCAGAAGTATAATACGCTCGGACTCTGAACCGCTTTGGAATGTTATTCTTCAAGTAAGCGCAGCATAGATATAGGTCGGCGCCTGATCGATGTGCCCGCGATCACAACCTCATAATTGCCGTCGTAAATCTTCCGTCATAATCTGCTCCTTTGTCTCGTAAAGAAGGAAAAAAAAGGGAAGAGAAAATATTCGTGCCACAATTGAGAATTAGACCGTCCTCGAGGGAGATTTCTCCTAGACTGAAAAAAAAAGAGTAAAAGTAAGTCTCTTAAAAAAGATAGAACGATAGACAATGAAAATTATCGGTGCGGACCGCGAACATGTTGTGTTAAATTGTACGGTAGTCCGCCGGTGGATTGCCGGTAATTGTTACAACTCGAGTATAGCTGAAACGCAATTTCACCCACCGCAAAGTGATGATTCTACTTCCGAAGTGACACATATGTGTGTACGTACGGCCTTCGCGAGGTATGATATGGGTCAATATCGCTCTCACGTACCTTTTTTTTACTTTCTATCGGGGAGTAACTTTGCGCAATGCGCTTAATCGTAATGATCTTTTAACGAGAGTCAGGATTTTAACAAGGTTAATCTCATTAAGAACTTATACGTAGTTATCCTCGTGTGCAGAACACGCTCGTGTCGCGATTGCAACATAAATGCTCATCACGTAAAGTTTTGCGTTTCTAACGTTTCAAATGGTCATTATATGACATATCTTTTACTATTTAATTCTTTAAATTATCAACTGAGGAAAATTAAGCAAATAACTTGCATATATTTAGGATATTTAATCAAATCATTCTTAGCGGTTAATATGTTCGCCCATCGCTTCTTTTATGGATATGCATTTACACGTGCTTTGAATGTGGAGAAATGAAGATATACTTCTCAACTTACACCAAGCAAGCTTAAAAATGGCACATTAATCTTAGCATGCATTTTCTATGAATGTCACATATGTTTAACTATAAGGATTCAGACACCGTTTCAGTTTGCCGAGGGGATTTTATTTATTCACTCACCCTCGAATGTATTAATTAAATTACAAAATGCTCGCTCAAAATTTTATTGAGTCTATGTGGAACGAATAATAATGTGTAATCATGATTTTCATTTAATCGTCGATTTTCTTTGCGTGATTTCGAGAGAAGGATAAATCGGTCAAAGAAATTTTATCGATTCTTCCTAGTCTATCGTTGTCTCTGTTCTTCGTATTTTTCACGCCGATGACCATATCGATCTTACGAAGGGATTCTAATCCAGCCGTTCGTTTTACTCGAGATTATCCTCAAGATCGGAACGCTTAAAGAACGCCATAAATTAATCAGATGGAATTATCGTTCTGCAACATTCGCGTTATATATCTCTTTTTCGTTTGTCGACGGCGACAGTGAAAGCCAAACGATTACTCGCCTAAATAGGCCCGAAAGAATATGCGAGTACCGATCTCTGTCATTTCCGACATTTTTATTCCTTTATTATTCCTTTATGCTTTTTCTACGCGTCTATCTTTTTATTCACGGGCAGTTCTCAGCGGCGCATTATACTACAACTCATCGTGGCCTGTCGTTACGGAATACTGCAATACGCTTTGATGTTTCTGCATTAAATTGTGTTGTTAAACTAGTTTGTTCTCGCTCGAGTTATTTTAGATTACGTCCTCGTAAAATGTCGCTCCGCGCGCATTACCACAACAATCGGTATCGCTACAACTTTGGTGTTTCCTAATTAAATATATTAGATCGTTCAATCTTGTCGCGCTGGCAAACGGCAGGAAGCTCGTTGGTGAATGAACGCCCATTATAATACGTAGGTACCAAGGAGGACAGAATTTAATGCAGTTTGACTTCTCACAAAAGACAGCGTACCGCTCATCGCTCTATTCTCATAGGCATCCCGTTAATTACGAAGCGCGTTTGCAGTCATCTTTATGAATATTGGCTAAGTTTCGCCGGGATTAATATCGTCATTATTATATTGCTTATTGCAGCGACGATTCGTGAATTATTTACGCGCTAGTAACACCACTTGATAATCTTCGAGATAAATCTCTCGCGTATTCTCAACAATAGTAAAAATATTTGAAATGTAAATAATTGAAATTTTGATGAAAAGAAATTGGTTTTTCTTATTGCTTAAAGTCAGATATCAGAGTTAGTAATATTAGATACGCGTATTAGAAGTGTAAAGGAGTATTTAATAATTAATTAAAATAATATGAGATAGAAGCTGTTTGTCAGAAATAATCATTTTATTGTAATGCAATTTAATGCAGATCTGCGGATAAAAAATTAATATTTTATTTGCATATTTCTCGACAATGGAAATAGCGAGTTTATACAACATGATTATATACCAGTCGAAATAAATGTCAATGTTGAGTGTTAATTCGCATGTAATCCGTCCTTCGCATCGTTTAAGTGGTTTAAGAGTGATATCGCTTTATTCCTGATAATGGATAATGTGTGACGTTCGCGGTTTACCACTTCCATTTAAATTTCTTTTTCAATATCCCAAAGTGACGGTAACTTGTCTCGAAGTCATTATGCGTTCATGCCCGCGTGAAATTCATCTTGCAAGGCAAGTGCTTTAATTAAATGTCAATCCAATGTTTTCTTGCATCATTTGACGTCGATCAGCATCGCTTTGCGTCTCGGGCTGCAATTAAAGACGTGTTTCAGATCAAGCGCGTACTTTGCACTTTTTGAAAAAGCGTATACTTTTATTTTTTATATCGTATATATACACATATCATATGCATGTCACACAGCTTTCCCACTCGTGATAAATGCTACTTTCGATTTTTTTTCTTCCGCGCAAAAAACATCAAATCTCGAAACGAATTACGGCGTGCCTGTGACAGCATCACGGTGCTTACGCGAACAAATATTTTTACGTAACGTGCAAACTATGCAAGCATATACACGTACACACCCACGCGACGCGACGCTTTCACGAGTCAGCGCAAATAAAACGAAGTCGTGCGAGTTGGATGATAAAGACTCGGCTTTATCAAAGGCTACGTATTGCAGCTGCAATCATAAGTCCATGATAGCGGCTTTGAATTTCATCGACGCTATTCATTTTAATCGTTATAGGATTGATACTTTTAGCGCTGCGTTTATAAAAAAAATAGATTTGCAAAAAATATATGCTCCTAAAAAAATAATTCTCTGCAATTTTAAATATAAAAAGCTAAGGTTTCTTCTTTTTCCTTCCACATAAATGCCGACTGATCGAATGTAATGCGCTTTAAAAGATATGGTTAGACCTAAAGCAATGAGATAAAGATCGGCTAAGTCGCGTTTAATGAATTTAATCGTTAGGAATAAAATTTGTTTATCGAATTATTACCATTTCACATTGTTCAGAACATCAACAGCAATATACACGACATACGTACTTTATTGACACGAAAAATTTGCGCATTATATAAGCTTGCAACGTGCAGTGAGGGAAGAATAACACTTGGAAAAATATATAATTGAGACAGCCGAAGTCACGAAATCTCTCATTATCTCAGAATCATTACTACAACTGCATCTTCTATAGTTCGAAACTTTCGAGATGTGCCGTAACTGCAGTGACTGCTGGCTTCTACGATTTTCACATATTTTTCTCAGTGTTGTCTGTGTACCAGTCAATGTTTAAGCTTTCGTAAGCACCGCATCACTGTTGAACTGTTTGTTAATGTTATCATGAGCCAGCTAAGAAACATGAACTGATTGTCGTTATTGTGATTGTAACTGAATGTTTCTTGCTTGCAGCACCAGAGCGCCGCCCAGGCATTGGTGAGTCGCATGGTCTCTTTCTTTTCTTCCTCTGTCTCCGATTTTTTACATGCATATTTTATGTACATCTTTCTGTCACTCCGTTTTAAGTTGCTGTCACTAATAACCTTTCTCGTGGTGCGTTAAAATTGAAGCACGTAATTGTGTTTTGTAAGTATTAATTTTTATTATATACAGGGTGTCCGGTAATAATCACCGAACCTCTTGTATGCAAGTAGAGTGAGTTAAACCGAGTAGAAAAGTCTTCTACCATTTTGCGAAATTCGCAATACTTGCTGAGAAATCAATTGAAAAAAATCTCAAATATTGCGAATAGAAGATTTTTCTACTCGGGGGGTTTAACTCACTCTACTTGTATACAAGAGGTTCGGCGATTATTATCTGATAACCCTATACATATAATAAATGTGTTGATTAAGCCACGAGAAAAGGTTGAATAAATCAACGATTCTCCTTATTATAAATCAAAACTGCATCATGATATAGATGTGTAGAAACTTACACCACCTTCTTATTTATAAAATGTTCTCTATATACAGCGTTTTTCAAAATTCTACACGTAAACTAGAATATATAGCAACTTAATTTAAGTTACGTAAATAACTTAAGACTTATAAATTAATTGGACAACTCAACAATATAATTATTGAAATAAATCTTAGTTATTTAGTTATAGTATCTATTGTTCTTTATAATAAAATAACACACATTACACATTACTTAAATTTTATAATTAATGTTATATTACAAAAAGAATAGCGTCCTCGGATGAATAAGGTAAGCTGGATCAAGAAACCGGGAAGTTAGAAACTGAACCTTTAAAGTTTGCGAAAGCGCAACGATTTTTACGCGACGCTCGTAAACCAACTTTTAACAAATTCTATCAAGATTGAGCTTTCTAAACTCGCTTTATAGTCTCGCTCTTCAAAGACATCCTAAATATCTGAAATCTATTTTATATTAATAATTCCCGCAATCCAATGGTTTATTTTATAACATGGGACAACTTTTATTATATTTGATAAAGTTTTAAATTTCTAGTATATATATATAACGCTATATTACCTACAATTAATTACAATCAAGGCAAAGGCATGCAATATTTCCTTCCTTTTTATTCTTCCAATTAAATTCTCGACAGATATAACGAACAAGAGTAGTAAAATTGATTGTAAAATTCATGAAGTTTAATTGAGACGAAGTTACACATAATTACATTTATACATACGATCACGTGCCTGAGCTTAATCAATACAATGTTTAACTTATTGAATCACATTCGAACCGGAGAGAGATCGCGGTGTTGCACAAAAATAACTCATCACTGTATTTCAATGAACAATCAGCGAGATTGTTTCGCGTGGTCGATGAAAGCTCGCGCCGCGCCGCGCCGCGCGCCGGTCGGTCCGATACGAGGTAGAAACGGAACGACGCACAGTGGGCCAAAACGGCAATCTAGCTGGACAAAAGTCGATTTTCGAAGATTAATATTTCTTAAAATAAACGATTATATTTTTAAGAAAGATATCTGATAGTTTATTTTTTACAAAATATTTACCATTTATACTTGTAGTTGTGTTATAACAATCATTTGAATACGTCGTATAAATGTCATCTCGCAAAACGTTAAATCATTACTTTAGCAGCGCTTGAGAAAGAAAGAAGTATTCTGCTTATATTGAAGAATATTAAAACTTCAAATTAGATAAATATAGAGAAAGGTATATATTTTTAAATTTTATTAACAAATTTTAATAATAGTTTTTTAATAATAGCGGTATTTTAAGTCAAACATTGCCGATTTTTAATTATAAAATTTTCAAAGTATGAAACTTAGAAAGGTCTACAAAAAAAAACGCTGTGGATTGCTGCCGTCATTTTACCAGCATATTATTCCTTAGACATTTCTGAGTTTTATCCTTGAAAACTAGCTGCCACTAAGTGCCGCTCTCATAGATACAGCGTTTTTTAGAACTCGCAACTCGTCCGTTTGCGTAAAGATACACGAGACGGTCTCGCGCTGCGCGTGTACTTGGCGAGACTACCGTGTCTCTTGATATTGACATCTATCTATGGTTATCTATAATTGCTGCAACGGTGTACGATAAACAATATTAACAATAACAACGATGACACTAATTCGCAAGTGATAAACGGACATAAAAGTCATGTGAAAGAGAAAGGTAATAAATAAAAGTTATAATAAAGAAATATGGAAATAAATAAATTGTGAGAAAAATAAAGACATAAAAAAGTGAAATGAATAAGGCATGTCGAAATAAATAAAATGTAAAATAAATAACTATAGATAACCATAGATAGATGTCAATATCAAGAGACACGGTAGTCTCGCCAAGTACACGCGCAGCGCGAGACCGTCTCGTGTATCTTTACGCAAACGGACGAGTTGCGAGTTCTAAAAAACGCTGTATCTATGAGAGCGGCACTTAGTGGCAGCTAGTTCTCAAAAATAAAACTCAGAAATGTCTAAGGAATAATATGCTGGTAAAATGACGGCAGCAATCCGCAGCGTTTTTTTTGTAGATCTTTTTAAGTTTCGTACTTTGAAAATTTTATAATTAAAAATCGGCAATGTTTGACTTAAAATACCGCTATTATTAAAAAACTATTATTAAAATTTGTTAATAAAATTTAAAAATATATACCTTTCTCTATATTTATCTAATTTGAAGTTTTAATATTCTTCAATATAAGCAGAATACTTCTTTCTTTCTCAAGCGCTGCTAAGGTAATGATTTAACGTTTTGCGAGATGACATTTATAGGACGTATTCAAATGATTGTTATAACACAACTACAAGTGTAAATGGTAAATATTTTGTAGAAAATGAACTATCAGATATCTTTCTTAAAAATATAATCGTTTATTTTAAGAAATATTAATCTTCAAAAATCGACTTTTGTCCAGCTAGATTGCCGTTTTGGCCCACTGTGCGACGGTCGGATGCACGTGAATATAAACCCGTCTACGGCTTCGATGACCTCGTCTTGCTTTGATAAATCCCTCGACGATATCGGTGCCGATTTTCCGAAGCGTCTCCGAATTGCGATTTACACGAGGAAAACGCATCCAACCACAAGCGGCGCGCTTATTCTTGCGTGCGCCACCGATGTCAGACGATTCGTTGCGCACCATAGGACGCTTGCTGTCAACGGCACTTCGTTGCTCGCCGTAGTACGAAATAATTTACTCCTGATGGACGGCGCGGAAAATCCAATCGCTCGGATAATTGAATTGTCGGGCCGATCGGAGAGAATCTCCTGCAACCTTTCGCAAGATCGAGCTTCACTCTTTTTTTGCTGGTGCGCGCATCATCGTCCGGACGGCTCCGGCCAGCCGTTCCTTAAAACGAGACTTCCGCGGTAGAATTTCCGCCTGACGAATCTCGATATATGACAGACACATGTCACCGAGAATTCACAAAAGATACGAGGTCGTTTTGCCTTGAACTTTTCTCCCTTTGAATTTTATTAGGCCAATGTGCCCGAGTTTTTAGAATGAGATCACACGTTATTTATGGAAGCTCGTTTAACGATTAAACGTGAATCCTCATCCAGCCGCTTTAGGTTGGAAGATAGCATTGGAAGTTGTTGAGAGAATGATAATTGTAATTGTAACTCTACAGAAATCGTATCGTTACGCGCACTATAATTTGAAAAAAACATTTCTACCTATGTTTCACATTCATAACATTGCAAATCCAACTGATGTTATTTTTACACGCATAAACGTCTAAAAATGATACATTAGATTAAAGCTCTTTTTACATATTTCTTTATGTGTTAAATTACATCATTTAACACGTTTAATCGTATAAATTAAAAGTTAATACGTTAAATGACGTGATTTGAAACGGTAAAAAATGTGTAAGTAGAGCTTCATCTAAAATAACACACTTGTAGTGAAACTTCATAAATATAAAAGCGTCGTGTGATATAACGTAACAACTGCAACGTGATACAAAAGTTTTCAATTATTAAAAAAAATGGAGCGATAATGCGAAACGCGAAGGATAGAATTTGTCGAAGATATCGTCGTTTATTGTCCATTATCCAGAATCCTGTTCGGCAAAGCGCGTGCAAAACGATTTCATACGGAAGCACAAACTGGGTCGGAAGTATTGTAAAAGTTGTGTAATTGCGACTCGGTTGGGATAACCGATTCGAAGGGAGAGACTTCGGCGAGACTCTCCAGCTAGTTTTGCGCGCTAGAGCAGCCATAGAGTCGCAAACTTCTTCCAAACTGAGGCTTTCCAAGACTCTTTCCAATCCGAAATAACATCCGCTGGTCACATCGGTGTGTAACACGTATCACCACGCCCATTATATTTTGCACGCCCGTGATCGAATGTTTGGCGTATAGATAACGTTTTGCAAAAACCATCGCAATACCAGGCATCCGCATTCTTCGAATATTCGCGCGTTATATATGCATCATGATATCCTGAATGTACTTCTCTCTATCTTTTCTTTTCGTACCTTTTAATTAAAATATAAACGCATCTTATGGCACATAATTGGCGTGTTTCAGAGCTCATCAATTTTTGAGAAGACAAGTGAATTTCACTGCCTCTTTGCTGCTTTTGCTTCTGTTTCATCCTCTCGCTATGCACTTGCGCCATGAAAAACTTATCTCGACAATAGCACATTTTCTCAAAATATCAGCTAAAATGTTGAGGTGATTGGATAAATAATATTGTGTAATTTTACTTCTTATTTGTCTTTGAAGGAAAAAGAAAATTATAACACGTATCTCAAGTTTGTTTCAATACATGTAACAGTTATCATGGAGATCATTTTGGCACATTGTCTATTAACGCTTAACAATTATATAAATAATTTTATTTATTTATTTTATTTATTATTTATTGATATTAATACTTTCACAAAGGATGAAAGAAATCATGACATTCTCGTTTCAAAGTTTGCGCCAATACACAAAAAATTACCTTTTTTATATTTACTGGTTATGAATAAAAA